CAATTATGTCTGTGATCACACAGAACTTATATTTGAATCCCTCAAATGTGTCTTTTTAACTGCTTCTTTCTTTCTATGCAGGTTTTCTAGATGATTTCTTCAAGACATTTGCAGTTTGATGCCATTTCCTGACCAGATGGGATGCAACAAAAGATTCCAGCAAGTTTTTTTTACCCATATACTGAATGTGAAAATGCTTTGAAGTCCATGAAACTGTAGGATAACCCATATCAAAAATAAGTGTACCAGAAGTCGTAGTTAAATAATGTCTGTGATCGCAACTTAGGCTATATTTGTATTTTCCCCCAAATGTGTCTTTTTAGTTGCTCTTTTTTTCTATGCAGGTTTTTCTAGATGATTTCTTCAAGATATGTGCAGTTTGATGGGATTTTCTGACCAGATAGGATGCAACAAAAGTTTCCAGCAAGTTTTTGTTTTCATCCTCACTGAAAGCAAAAATGCTGCAAAGCAACAATGTGAAATTCACATACCTGTAGGGTATTTGACACTTAAAGGGATGCTCGTTTTTTCATATTGAACTATGTTATTCTCTTAACTAAGACGAGTTGATGCATACCTCTGCATACCTTGAGTGCGTGCACTCAATCGCGCGAGACACTTTGATGGCGCTTAACTAGCCCAGGTCATTCAATATGGGCCAAGCAGAGAAGCGACCAAACACCTCCACGTTTTCCCTATTTAAATACAGTTACATGAGTAGTGTAAAATAAAACGTTTGAAAGGAATATTATGTGACTTTAAAAATAACTTTTTAAAGTCACAATAAAACGTTGTTCCATAAAAAGTTCTTAGTTAAGGGAATAAGATAGTTTAATATGGAAAAAAAAAAACGGTGGAGTATCCCTTCAGTGACCGACCTGTTCAATGCCACCTATGTGCTTTTTATTGAATGACATTTTATAGTGGTCTATTTTTTATTAGCATTGAACAGATAGAATACCACAAAATTCAACAATACAAATACCAAAAAGGCCTAAAGGGTTTTAATAAAAAACTTTAAATATAATAAATAAAAATAATAAAAAAAATAAGTAAAACATTCTCACTTTTACTACACTCTAAACAATGCTGGGTTGTTTTAACCCAAAATTGGGTAAAATATGGACAAACCCAAATGTTGGGTTAAAATTTTAACACAACATTTGAGTTTGTCCATATATGACCCAAATTTGGGTTGAAATAACCCATCATTTTTTAGAGTGAAAGAACAGGCAAATACTACATTGCAAAATCAACAACAACAAAAAAAAAGCTTTATAAAACGGATAGTTCCAGTCATTGATTCTGATTCCTCGTTCAAAGTAAGGAATAATTGATGACGGGCGTTGAATTATTTGAAAAATAACGCACACCCGAGGCGATAATGCTTGAGTGGGAGAGCGGGAGAAAGAGAGTGTGCTTTCCATAGGCTACATATTTATTTGCTTGTAGTCTGTAGGACCTTGAAATAACTGAAATCATTTGGCGAAGTGATATGTAACTGTAATGCGTTCAAGGAACTACTTTGCCTGAAAATATTTACACCTTAGAACAGCCCTGTAGTATAAGCCATTGAAAATTACTCTTATTGCTTTAGTCTATCTTGTGTTGTGCCTGGTTACATGTGTTTGTTCGGGTGCATAATAATAGAACAAAGATGAGAACACCGCTGTCTAGTTAAAGAGTGAATTGTAGTCATTAATGGCTCATTATTTGAAGGATGTATTAGCCTGCAGACTCTCTGATAGCTTCGGTTTTATACATATGTTTCAGTATGAGCCTTTTGAGAAAGCAACATGTTTATGTATTGCAATATCACCCTTGAATTTCTAAAGTATCTGATCAGTTGCAGAACTTGAGATGTGAAAACAACACAACCAAAGGATCTTTCAGCAGTCTGACATGGACTGACAAAGACATCATTAACTCCCCTCGTTCTTCTGATAAATGTATCCGTCTGAATAGCATTAATATCATGCGGTAGTTCATTTTTTCCACCAGATAATTTAGCTTCTATATTTGTGGTCAGAAATGTCCCGGGGTTTGAGCAGTGAGTAATGGGTGTATTACGAAATCACTGCCGAGTTCATTTGTGCAGCATTTTCTCCTTTTGAAGAAAACTTTCGTGTCAATCTTCATGTTCATAACCAACTTTATGTTGGTTTAAATGATGGCAAATAGACCCAAATAATGTTTCAAATAGCAAAAATCAAAGAGAAACCAGTCTTGTTTGTTACAAATCACCACTGCATTTACAGTCATCTGACATTCAGCAAGGTGTTAAACTAAAGCACTTGCAATGTGTCGTTTGTGTTCCAGCATAGTAATTAGCATATTCATTAGTGCGATTTGCATTGATTAAGTTGATTTATGCAAGTATGTATCAGCAAAAAAAGGAGATGCAGTGCCAGTGAGTTAAATGACAGGTCTACACTCTAAAAAATGCTGGGTTATTTCAACCCAAAGTTGGGTCAAATATGGACAAACCCAAATGTTGGGTTAAAAATCTAATAAAAAAAATGTACAGTTGAAGTTGGGTTAAAATTTTAAATTACATTTTTAACCCAACAATTGGGTTTGTCCATATTTTACCCAATTTTGGGTTAAAACAATCCAGCATTGTTTAAAGTGTATAATTCAACTTAAATTGATCTCAATTATCACAATATCTCATAGACTCAAATTGCAGGGTGTGTCCACTCTTTTAGTTCGGTTCGCTTTGTTTCGTTGGTCCAAACCAAAAAAAAACTCAAATATTTAGTTCTGCACCAATCAGTGTTCACATTAGCATTTTAACACCTAACCTAAAAATACTGAACCTAAAGGCACAGGGATATATTCACAACCTGATTGGTCGGCATTTAGTACGTAAATTTAGCGACAGAACTTACAGAACATCAACGGCTCTGACGCGAGACGCGGTTCTGATGCCTGTACCAAACAAAAGAAAAAAAACAGAGCATTCTGTCCTTTTTAGGGTCGCATCTTGTGACATCATGTCCTGTTTTTGGTTCGTTTTCATGTCTTTGGTCGGTATTGTGTTCATATTTTAATTATTACATTAGTTTGTTTGAAAGCGGATTGAGACTCATCTTTTCAGTGTTCTTCTTGGTCTGCTTGTTTGGTGTACACCAGGGTTCGGATGGCAGCTTATTCAAATGAACCGCACTAACAGAGCACCAGGGTTCGTTTTAATCCAACCAAACATGCCAAGTGTGAACACACCCTTGGCGTAAAGTGAAAATTTAAGAGTGTATATACACTGTAAAAAAAAAATATTTTCATGATTTGTAATCGCAACATTTTTTCTTTTGTCAAATCAACTTAAATAATTTATGTAGTTCAGATAACATAATATTTTGAGTTGAGCTGATTAAATCAATCTCCTTCATTGTATTAACTCAATTTTTCCATTTCAATGAACTTAAAATTTTAAGGCAACCAGGTTACTTCATTTTTTAAGTTAAAGCAACAATATTTTTTTCAGTGTACATGTTACTAGTGCTAATAAGTGTGCACTGTTTTTGTAGCGCGTGTGTATTTTTGGAGTGTGAACGAAGAAGATCATCAACTAGGCACAATCTTTTCATGTCAATACCAGTCTCTCTCCTGCAGAGTAATCTGTAATCAAGGCGAGGGTAGAGAAAGATAGTGAGCATGGGTGGGTGTGTGGATGTCTCGGATAGACGGCGGCTGTGTAAAAGGTTTTTTGGGTGAGTGGACGGCAAACAAGGAAATGATGGTGATCAAGAAAGCAGGAGAGCAGACAGGGGCAGGGAGAGAGATTTAAAGCATGCCTAGACTAAATGCACTTGGGAAATTATGCAAAATTGCAAACCTAAAACAACCAGCAAGCAGCACACCGAGCAGTCGGAATATTTCTAATGAGCGCTAAATTAACGTTGTGATGTCTGCTGATGAATTTGAGACAGACATTAACCTGCAATCAGACGTTCTTTGAAATGAGCCACAGCCGTACCTAGAGAAGATCACAGCTATATTAGCATTTGAGTGTCATGCTAAATGGCTTCATTAATAAAAACCTCTGTCTGATTAGAATGCCGGCTGAAGGAAGCGTTTTGTGTGTGTGTGCGTATGCATGTATTCATCATAAGTATATATTTTTTTACCATTTCAGATTGAAGAAATGGATTTCAAGCGCCACTCAAGTAAGCAACCACACCGTTTTCTTTACTGCATATGCAAAATGAGGGAAAAAACACCCAAACCACGCATGTGGCCACATTTTTCAAGAGTTTGGGGGCTTGCAAACAACCCAAAGAAACTAAATCCTGCACTAATGAGTCACAAAAACACAGAAAAACCATTATTTTCTTGAATATATGGGTTAAAGACACCCAACTTGTGATTTTAAGACACTTTTATCCAAAGTGTACTATCTGGAGTATGTGATGTGTTGCTTAAACATAGTTTAACTATCATTTGCTCACCCTCATGTCATTTCAAACCCGTATGTTGTTCTGTTGAGCACAAAAGAAGATATTTTCAAATCTGTTGAGTCCCATGTTGTTTTGGACCCAAATGGAAAACCCAAAAACACTCTTTAAACTCTTTACACTCTTTTAACTCTTTAAAATAGCAATTTGTAACTATTGTATATTTGGGGGAATTGGTGGATTCATGCAATTTCATTCATATGTTTTTACGCCCCACTGACGGTTAAGTTTAGGGGTGGACGTTCATGCTTACATCTTTCTAAAACTTGTATGTTTCCGTATGAATCAAATTCATGTACGAAGTCGAAAATAGTTACGTTTTCTCAAGAGATCGGGCTGGAACTGTCCCTCATAAAAGTCTTGTGAGGTTCGAACCCATAACCTCATTTCGCTTCCAGCTCAGATCTTGAACCACAAAGCCACATTTTCTCAACCAGTAGCCAAGCGACAACCTCAAAATCTCGACCCTAACCCTAACTTCCAGGTGTCACAGTTTGGAAAAAGCAAACCCACATCCTCGGACACACATATACATCCACTCACCGCCATCGTCCTCGTCGAAGGAGTTCATGCAGGGGAAGTAGATGGCCAGAGCCTCAAAGGACGCGGACAGGCTGATGCGACTCTGTGAGCGCTCCATGTAAAGGCCCGGCGTGGGTGCCGGCGCCGTGTCCGCAGGCTTGGGCAGGCGTGCCTGGGCATTCTTCACGCGGAGCACGGCACGCGGCGTCTTGGCTAACTTTCACCGGCCCCTTCGCCAGCCACGAACAAGAGAGAAAAACAAACCCCAAAGCACCCTCGTAAGTCCCTGTGGACCTGGTTTGGGTTCAAGAATCCTGTGAAGATATAATGTCCAGACTTCTTCTGGTGTCTGCAAAGTCCTTGTTTTGTTTTGTCTCCGTCCAGGTCTTCAGGACAGAGAATTAGGACGGATGGAGTCTCATCTCAGAAGCTGATGTCTCAGAGCTGTCCTGGATCTGCTTCAGAGAACATGATCTGTTGCTTTTCTGTCTAGCTGATCCCTCACTGGGCTGTGCACTGGATGGATGGATAGCATATAATGCCGTGTGTGAAAGAGAGAGAGGAGGAGAAAGAGAGATGGGATTGAAGAGACAGACGGAGAGAGAGAGAGAGAGAGAGACAGACGGGGAGAAAAGGTTCTTACTATTCCAGCAGTCTGAGGCTGATTCACTTCATTCAGCGCTGAGCTCTTTGTGGAGACAAAAAGGGGGAGGAGGCACCCAAGAGCTGTTGCTGGGATTCAGGATACTAGCCAATCACAGGCCAGATGTCTGGATATGGGCGTGGCTACAGTCTACAGGCACAATAACTGTGGATATCTTTCATCCGTTCACAGACACCGACCGGCTTGCTGACACGGTGAAGTGAAAGCTGGTAGATTTCAGACATGGTTTGATTACCATATGTTTCTGCAAGAGTAAATCACACGCATTTACAAAACACTGCAACAGTTGGCTGTTTATTAAGATGTATCAAATCAATAATGTTTTGAATAAATGCCAAAATAAGTACTCTAATACTCTAACTCCCACACACACACACAAAAATATATATTTTGAGAATTTCACACAAAAAAAGGAATTATTTTTACTGAATGTAAATGTTTTTATTGACAATAATACATTTAAATAATAAATGAGGTTAATACAAAATTTGTACTCGTCCACCAGTTTTTTAATTTTATTTTTAAAATACACACACAATGTTATTTTCTAACTAGTTTTAGTTGTCAACTAAAGCTATTCATTTTAATTTATTTCAGCTTAATTTCAATCAAGGAATTATGTGATGAAAGGCAAGTTGAAGAAATAAAAAAAGTTGAAGTACTAACATTTGAATAAAAATAAATCTAAGCTCAATAGAAAAAAAACAGAAATTAATAAAACTGACGAAAGCACATCATTTTGATATAAAAGCTATAATTCAAACTAATAAATACTATAATTTTATGTAAATGATAAAAAAAAATCTAAACCATCTACTTTAGTGGGACTTCTTTTCTAGTTTTTAAAAAAAATATTTTTGTTAATATTATGCTTGCTACCCCTCTATTTTCATGGTCTTATATTACCTAGTAGCCTCTATTATGGTTTTACATTAAAAACAACAGTGCTAAAACAGTTATTAGCTGATTACATACAAATGGTATTTGACACTGAACATGAATATCAGTCAGTGAAACATCGTCATTATGCTCCATGTGAAATATAGACCAGGTTTACCTGTTTTATATGTAGGCTACCTTTCATTTGTTTTTAAAAACTGAAGAATGGCAGCATCCATGAACAGGCCTGTTGCATTTGGCTCAATCATTGTATGTTGTAGATTGAAGTAAATAGCAACAAAATGACAGTAAAACCACCACATTTGTTAGAGAATAACCTCTGATGATTGGCAATTTAAACATAGCTATTGACAGCACCCGTGGGCTTCAGCCTGTATTGAATTGTACCTTTAAGAAGCGGAATAAAAGAACGACTCTGCTGGCTGAGAACAGTCATCTTTCTTCTGTGTGTCTGGCAAGAGAGGCTAAGTGTGTGTGTCTGTGTGTGTGTGTGCGCGCTGAAAATGTCACCTGTGCCACCTCAATGAACAATCACAACTCTACTGCAAATAATAAACGCAGAAGCATCACTCATATTTATGAACGCCTCATAACCGATGCTGACAATCTCTGCCTCTCTCGAACTGCTTCCTGTCAGTTTTTGAATAGATTTATGTATGATTTAGCCTCAGCAGGGTTGCCAAAGTGCATCAGATCGCATGATAACTCTCATTTATTTACTATATTTTACAATTTTAAGACAAATTTGTGGTTGCTGGATTGCGCTAAGGTTTTCTGAGTGTCTGTTAGCACACACACACACTGCTATGTATAGTCAACGCATTCTCACCCCAAGGCGTCACCTTTGACCATGCTTCAATATCTAACTGACGCTAAAGGAAAGCGTCAGTTAGAGGACGCGGTTAGGTTTAGGTGTGGGGTGGGGGTAGGGTACACGCGATCCCAGGGCATCATCTTACTGACGCTAAAGGGCGCCTAAAGCGTCACATATTGAAGCATGTCCAAATGCTTCCCAAGGCGTCAGTTAAGTGACGCCTTGGGGGTGAGAATGGGCTGGTATAGTTGCAAAGAAATTTTAAGGAGATGTTGCTAAGATGTTTGACTTAACAAATTCACATATCACAATGATAAATGTTGTATTTCAAGTACCTCTATTATCACACTGTACCATGTTACTGTCATAGTAAAGTTTTATAAAGGTAAATATTTAGTCACTATAAAACAAAGTACCAAAAAGTAACTCGCCATTAGTTTTGAACATGTAGTAATCTTGGAAGTACCTTGAGCAGACATAAAATACAATATAAATATACTAATATATAAATGAAGAGTTCAGATGCAAAAGCCTCTAAGTGCCATTTGAAATTTTCTTCTAGAATGATCATTTTTATCAAGCTTGCATATTTAAGTTCAGTGATTTCACTTAAATGGCAATGATAATTACCTATTAATTGTTATTTAAGTGAAAGTACTGAACTTAAATATACAAGTTTGATAAAAAAAAAATCATCATTAAAAAAGAAAATTTCAAATGGCATTTAGAGGCTTTTGCATCTAAACTCTTCAAATATTAGATGAAAAAAATGAAATGTTGTTTTGACAACTAACTAAAAATTGAGTTGTAATACTAAAATTGAAACAAAAATAACTTCAAGCTAAACAAAAGTGACAAAACCATATAACAAAATTTTTAAATAAAATAAAATTAAAGCTAATTCTAAATATTCTAATATCAATAATAAATTATGCTAAAATAACATTGCCTTGGAGTATCAAGGAACGAGACCATCACTAAACCACAGACCAATAAAGTAATTTACATATTATGAATATCAGGGATGTGATTGTGCGAGTGAAAAAAGCAGACTTTTTTTAAGACCCAGTGTAAAGCACTTTTTGTTCACCTGAATCAGCCATTTACTGCATGAACTACCGGGAACTGGAATATATTTAACAGCTATAATTTATTTCTAGTATACAAGAGGACATCTTAACATCTTTGGGGAAAAATGTAGGGGCGATAAGTGCTATTCTGTAAATAAAGCGACTGTGCTTCCAATACCGATCAATCTCATTCAGTAAATAAAACTTGAACCTGAACCCACAAAAGGCCTGAAACAGTGTAACAAAATTGCACAAACATGCATTACTTCAAAATATTTTTTTAATTACTGATCTGCATGATTCATGTGGGTCATGATTTTAGGCCGAAATAACCGGAATTTCGGATTAATCTGAAAGAATCACATCCCTGAAGTTTGCTGTGTGTGTGTTCTTTTATATATGGTTCATGAGAACACAAATGTATAATGAAAAGGGTATTAGAACATGAACATGGTTTAAACCAAATGGCTTAAAATTAATTGAAATACAAAAAAAAAAAAAAAAATACGTAGGGTTAGTGTAAGGGGATATATTAGACAGTTTAAAAGCCATTACGTGTGTGTGTTAAGAGTTGTCTCGTATCGTAGCCAATAGCAGTTGAGTTGGTTCTTGTTCAGTGCTTCACTGACCTTTTACCATGTTGTTCCTCCTACCAGCAGGACCCAGGGGAAAGGGGCCGTCTCATGGTGATGACATATTAAGTGCGAGACATCAATGAAACCTGACAGATGCTGGGAGTTAAAGTGAACACAAGTTTGTGTTAGAAGGAGACAACATACGGGAGGAAGAGAGAGAGAGAGAGAGTTAAATTAGGGCTGGATTGTTCTCTCCTTCCAAGAAACAAACAACATGTACTTGCTACAGTCGACACCCCTTCTGTTCAAAGCCCCTTCTACAGAAACCCATTATCATGATGATATTCCAAAAGAGAATTACCATGGTAATGTGTTTCTGTGATGCCCAGAAACCATCTTGCTCTATTATATGATAGACATTATTAAAGGTCTGTACAAGTTCATCAACCTCCCCAAAAATTGACCCACACTGTTTTTTTTTGTTTTTTTTTTTTTTTTTTACAGGTACTGTAAAAGTCAGTATTTTTTTCAGAATTTTTCCGTTTTGTCGTTATACAGTAAATGTCTGATTACATGTCTGGTCCATGATTACATTTACCGGTAATTGCTTGTATTTTGGTTTTACATCAATTTTATGTTTTTTTTTAAAGGATACAGTCTGTATTTTTAGAGGGTTGTGTGTAATTTGACATAAATATTAATGATAAGGGTGGAAAAGAACAAGGAATTACTTTATTCTAATGAACCAATGGAATCACCCATTGCATAAACTCCCACTCATACAAGTCTGGAGAATCATGACTGTTAACGAAGAGGGAGGGAATATCATTAATTTGCCAAAATCTGTAGAGTACAAAAAGACCAAAGGGCAGCATCTCAACAGTGTGACTAGCTGTTGAACAATGGCAGGAAGTTGGTATGCTGTGTGGTCTCTGGCACTTTGTGTTTGGTTTGGTGCTTTCTGTCATGCTGTTCCAAAGTGGAGTAATCTTCCCCAGAATCCTCAATCTCTGATGTTCCAGCAAACTGACCAGCGGTTTCAACAACCAGTTCAACAGCAAGCTAGTCAACAGTTTCCTCAGTCAGTTCAACAGCAAGCTAGTCAACAGTTTCCTCAGCAGTTTCAGCCTAAGCAGCCAGTGGCACAGACCGAGCCCCTTGATAAATGTACTGTAGCTGATTATGAGCAGATCCAATGTGGTCCACCTGGTATCAGTGGTGCTGAGTGTGCAGCTATCAACTGCTGCTTTAACGGACAGCAGTGTTACTATGGGAAGGCAGGTAAGAGTGTTGAGTCAATGTAAAGGTGTTCATGTAAAACTGATCTTCAGCAATAACCTGCTCTTGAACCTTGTTTCAGTGACCGTCCAGTGTA